TATTAATAGCATTTTTTTTAGTTGCTATCGTTATAAGAGGTTGGTTTATTCCAAAATTCTCAAATTTAAGTTTATAAAAATAAAAAATTCTGGCAAAATTACAAGCGCTATAAGTAGTGCGATATCTTCAAGACAGGAATCCGGTACATGTTTGATGACTAAAAGATTACTGATCTATCGAAAAATCATGAATTTTGTATTAATATTCTTGCATGCTTGCCTGAAATGATTCATATATGATCGGTTTATACAAAAATGGAATAAAACAATCAGAATAAAAAATAAATGAGATAACAATAAATAAGTGAAATGGTAAAGAAATTAAATGAGAAGGATTTGTAAAATTCCAATTAAATTTGATATGATTTATGTAATAACATTCAATACATATAAATTATATCAAATTCAATTAATTATAATCAATAGGATGTATTTTTACATCATCGATATTTTTGAACTTGAACGGAAAAATGTATGCATGTGAAATTTTTATGAAACAAAAATGATGTCAATCGATGAGTTTAATGTTATTAACATTTTATTGTGATTTTTTTTCGCAAAAAAAATGCATTGTGACATTATTTGTCATTTTATTTGCATTTTTCGTTTTTTTTTTTTCATTGTGAAATTTTATTTGTTAATATATGCAACTTCCCCCTCTTTCCCGACTTATTTTATTTATCATTCTATAATTCAATAAATGTGATACATTGCAAATAACTATAAAGTTATTTGCATATTTTGATTTTTTTTTGTAAAAATTTTTCTCTCATAATAAAAAATTAACGATCACATACATATGCAATGAATGATATATAATAAATTCAATCATTCCAACAATTTAAATAAAAAATTTTATGAAAGCAAAAGAAAAAAAATTATTTTTTTCAGGTTTTAATACTAACAAAATATGGGAACAGTTTTTTGGGGTGAAATTGAAGAAAATACGGAAAATATTTGCGGTGTTATTGATTACGATAAGCATGCATTCTTTATAACATGCACGGAGGATGATCCGATTGATCGTGAATATACGTTGCATCAAATTTATGATGATAAAGCACCTGATACCGTATTTTTTTTATTCTTTCTTTTTAAATTTTAAACAATTTTATTTTTTAAGTATGAATGATAAAATAAATCTATCAAGATATTTTTTTAATACAATTATGTTAGTGCAATGATAATAGTAATAAATTAAATTTTCTATCTTTTTAAGGAACTTTATAAAGTTTGCTCTAAAATAATTGTAATAGTTTGACTGATTTTCATCATTGAACTATTAATGATTAATTTTGTTTTCACATTTAAGAATATATTATTTAAATGAATTCCATTTACTTTGTTCAGGTGTAATTTTTGTATCAAGAAATTTTTTAGGTAATGCATATGTTGATTGCAAGACATGATAAAACAAATGATCGGAAAAATACAGCCATACACCGAACGGTGAAAATTTTAGAGATGACTAAAGGTCGCTCTGTACATTTCCCAAAATTAATTTGCTATGGACGTTTGAAAAAGGTGAAATTTATTGTAAATTGATAAAATAATCAAAAATACGAGAAATAAAAGATTTGAAGTTTTGAAATTCAAGGCAAATTCAAACATTAAATTAAATAATTTTTGAAAATAGTTTTTAATTCAAAAAAAAATCAATTCCTATTAGATGATATTTGGTGAAAATGGTGATCAAGATGCTGAACGCGATCCGGAATGGATTGGACGACCATGTGCTATTCTGGAATATCATGCATCGATGATAAGCTCATTGTTATCATTATCACCTACTGGTACTGTTCCACTGGATCTAGCATTGATCATTATGATGGGATGTGTTCGAGCGCTTGCATCACTTCATCGGCTCGGTTATGTCCATCGTCAGGTCTCACCATACAGGTAAATACAATTGAAATTTCATGAGACTGATCTGATCGATAATTGATAAGTGATTAAAACTATCCTCTAGGACAGTACAGAATTTAATTCAAATATATTTAATTTTAATTTTAAATGAATGTAAATTATAGCTTTGCATTTCGTAATCCAATCTCTTATGATTCGGTGGAATCACGCATGTTAATTATCGATGTAAGCTTAGCTTTACCATGGCCTTGCAAACCACGTGTATTTGTACCGTTTGTTGGTACAATTCGGTACAGTTCTGTACGAGCTCATCGAGGACGTGAACAGGTAGATGATATTTCAATGAGAAACATTACAATTGAACAATCATGATGAGAAAAATTAATTTCGATGTGAAAATAAGAAAATAAAAGAATAAGAATTGGAAATAGAAAAAATGAATCGAAAAAAAGAGATTTCCAAAATAATCAAAGTGAGATTACAAAAGAATAATACTACAGGGTCCATCAGATGATATCATCTCCTTAATTTATATGATTGCTGAAATGATCTCCGGTAAATTACCATGGCGTTCCGTATTTGATGAAAAGCGTGTATGTGATATGAAATGTTTGTTCTATAAAAATATCGAATTTAAACGACTTCCACGAGAAATTCGATCTCTTTACAGGTAAATGATGCTACTGCGAATAATTTGACGCCATTTCATTTATTATAAATGAATTTTTTTTTAAAGCATTTTAAATATTTTAATAAATATTTATTAAATTCTTTTTTTTAGTTTAATAAATAATGTCTAAAAATGAATTTGTTCTGTTTATGGTAAGATAAAATCTAATTAATCATTAAATTCAGAAAATCATATATTATTTCCTCTTTATATCTCTCTGTATGTTATCATAAGCATTTATTACAGATTAATGTATATGACATTGTCACCTTATCCAATAGATTATAAATTTATTATTGAACAAATTCAAGCAGCTCTAAAACGTCGTTATCCAAACAACAAACATGAACTTCCATCATGGATTGCTCTACCAATTGCTGAAGAATAATCCGATAACTCTATTATCAATTCATCGTTCATTCCAACCGATCAATTCATTCATCCTCTATTTCTACATACATTTCAAGCTTGTAAAATTATGAAAAATTTTAAGCATTAAAGCAAAAAAAAAAGAAATACAAATAAATAAAAATTTTGAAACAAAATTACAACTAAAAGCCAAATATTCATTATCGAATACTTACTTCTTCTGTATGAATAATTTATAATGGGAAAATGTGCAGTAATTATTATTCATTACCGGATTCGAAAAGTGGAACCGGGCAATGATCACAATCATTTTCACCACCCTAAAAAGATATTATTGTAAGAACTATCGTATTAACCTTTTTACCATTATTTTTGACATTATTGCACCGATAAATGAATTTGATCGTGAAATCATGATCTGATTTTAGTATCCTCAGAAAGAAATATATCATTTCTTTTACNATAAAGAANTAAGAAAACACGATTATTTAGCTTTTAGATTTTTTTTTCAAATATTTTTGTTAGAACTTAAACATTTAAATTAATTGAATTTAAAAAATTAATTGAATCAAAAATTCCATTTATATTAGAATTTAAGTCATTAATTGAATCAAAATTAATTGATAATTTGATGTGTTGTTCGTTTTTTTTTTTAGATGATTGTTGCAGTAAAATTGCAAATAGAAAAACATTTGCAATATAATAAATTATTCAATAACTTACTTATATGGAAGTATTAGTAACAGATAAAGGTACTAAACAGGTGACATTCACCGGGACAATAATAATTTGACATTTATCATGTACAAAAAATGTCAGCCAATGTTTGGAATTTGGCAAAAAATTTCATTTTCCATGAATTTCGATTTTGTTGTAAAAGTGTTTAGTTTTTGATAATTTGGTATATATGATTAAATTATCTCAGGCATGCTTTTAGTCCGGCAGAATTTGCACACCAGCCGGATCTTATTCCAAAAATAATTCCGAACAATTCGTAGAAAACTTTATAATTCAATATTTTAAGGGAAGTTTTAAAATCCCATTTTTTGTCTGTATTCAAACAGTTAATCCAAAAGATATGTTACGTGAAAATGTTGATTTAATTTTAATTTTGCACCTAATACTTTTTTTTGCTATTATTAATGACAGAACAACAGATAGCATCATCGTAATTTTAGCGGAAAGAACTCGATCATTGGTATTAAATTATGAGAAATAATTTTCAATATATGAAAGAATTAATTCAATTTCTTAAATTTCTGTTTTTGCTGAATTTATGATTTTTTAGATTTATAGTGGATGAAATTTGAAAATATAATTTGCTATGCATTTGAAAGTTCGAATTTGAAACTTAAAATATGCTTTTACTCAGATAAAAATATTGAAAAAATAAAATAATGCATAACTACCATTTCTCCAGCAGGTCCATCGAAACCATCTTCTCCTGGCCGTCCTGGTATTCCCGGTGCTCCTTGTTCACCGGGTAAACCCTGAAATTTTATAAATTGACGAAAACAAAAAAAAAAAAACACTGTTATTTATATATGTGCTCTATTTGGGTTTTACATGTCGATTCCAATAAACTCACGAACCGGTGGTCCCGACAATCCATCTTGTCCATCATTTCCATCTTGGCCATCAGATCCTGGTAGACCAGGCAAACCTGGTGGTCCTCGTCGTCCCTTTGTGCCGGGTATGTCACGAATCTCTCCTGGCTGACCTGCTTTTCCCCTCAATCCAGGACTTCCAGGAATTCCACGATTTCCTGGTTTTCCCGGAAATCCGATCAATCCTGCAAAGCATTCGCCATAAATTTTTAGTGAATAACATTCAAACAGAATTTATAATTTGTACTGAACTTAATTAAAAATACCATCAACGCCATTTGGTCCATTAGCTCCTTGTGTACCAGGTTGACCAGGTGGTCCCTTTGGACCTTGCAAACCAGGAGGACCAGCTGGTGCTGGTGGACAGTCGAAACACCATTCCTGATGATGATAATCCACTCCTTTCATTGCATCTGGACCTCGTAGACCATTTTTACCCGGAAGCCCATCAGTTCCTGAAAATCTCCTTCTTAATATTGATCTTTGAATGTAACAAACTTATTTAATGCTAATTCCAATACCTGGATCTCCTGATGGTCCAGGTAATCCTATTTCTCCAGCTTTACCGATTCCACAACTGCAACATTCAGGATTCCGCGGCATATTTGTGTATGTGGTATCCGAATAGGGACTTAAAACGTCATAAGGTGATACGTTATAGGATGGTGTTCCTATATTTGATAACGTTTCATAGGATGATGTTTCCATATTTGGTGACATTTCATAGGGTGATGTTTGTATATTTGGATAATAGTAGTAACTCACGTAACGTCGATTGCGTGATGTGCGTCGCTGTTTTATGTTAAACATCTGAAAAAAAAAACACATATGGACGAATTAGGAAAAAAAAATTTAAAAACTCATCAATAAAATTAAACTGCATTCAAAATTTGAAAAACAAAAACCGAAAAGAAATAAATTTTATGATCCTATTTGTAATAACTACTAGTACTTCAATGTTTTTCCCATAAATGATTTTTATTTAATTTTTAAAATTGAGTTTTTTTTTTTTTAGAATTAATTTTTAAATTTTAAATAATAGTAAGTAACCTTCTCAATATATGCATATTCTTTCCACATATTTCTGGAACGTTGTTGACAAAACTCTATTTCATTCGTTAAAGTTGTTTGTATTGTTTGAATGTAGTAATAAAGAAGTGGTGTGACAATTACGCTACATATCGTAGCTATTGTACTAAAATTTACAATTTATTATCTTGAAATGAAATCAAGTGATAATTTTTATCAATCAAATTACTTCTACTAGCAATATAATATGTGGCAATGTCTTCAAGAATTTAACCTGTTGCAATTTGCAAATATATTTTCATATAACATTTAATTTCGTGATAAAATGAAAATTTTAATTTTTGACATTAAATTTGATAAAATGAAAATTTTAATTTTTTTGATATTAAAAAATTTTAACCAGGAGCTAAATCAAAACGAATTGAATATAAAAAATTTACCCGGCTGCTACACCAAAAAAGGCAATTTTCTTGTGACGTTCGGCTTGCTGTTCCTTCGTCATGGTTTTTTCGTATGATTTTCGAAAAATTCCCATCGATGTTAAATATATATAGAAATTGAAAATCTCAAAAAAAAAAAATGCTTATTCTTGACTGGAAAAAGTAAAATTACAATAGCATCGCTGATATACGCTTGCGCAAACGATTGAAACATTGATTTGGTGATTTAATTTAATTAAAATTAACTCTAACTATGAAACTTATCGCTTTCTTTTTTATTCTGTCAAAATTAATTATATTTCACACGTGTCAGGAGAAAAAAAAACAGAAATTGAAATTTTACAACATTTTAATTCATCTTATAGTAAAATAAGTATGTTCAAAAATCATTAAAAGATTGATAATTCATAACATTACAATTAAGAATTTGCAAAAAAATGTTATAAAAAAGTGTGAAATGTCAGAAATATGTGGGAAAATAAAAATGATTATCATATTCCCAAATATGAAACATAAATAATTTGATTTAAATTTGATATAACAAAAAATCAAAACTTAAATAAGGTGCCAGAAAAAGAAAGTGAATTCAATTACAGTTCTTTTTGTATTGTGAAAAATGTTTTGCAAAATTTAAATTCCCTCTAAATAGCTCTCGAATTTCTCGATAATAAAAACAATGCATTTTTAATATCCGAAATTATTGCTAAAATTTATGACCTTGTTTTGAAATGGAATTTTTGATATTATTCATTGTCCGGAAATTCATTCATATTTGTTACCTTATTATGCATAATCTTTATTCCACGCTTGTAATTACATTTATACTTTCATGTCAATGCATCATTTTCAAAACTTTTTCTGTTAAAATAACAAATAACTTAATAAAATTTTTAAAAATTAATTGAAAAAAAACTAATATTGTCACCAAAATAGTTTCATATTTGAATTCCGACTATAATGAAAACTTACTATTTATGGTATTTTAAAGATACGTAAATCAGTCCAACGTCTCGAAATATATTTCAGCAATAATGGATCAACAATCGCATTTCATACGAAAATCAACAAAACCGTTGTTGTTATAAACAGATACTACCAGTCATGAAACGAAAAACAAACTAAAATTTACGAACACCCAAAGGTCAAAAGGCAACCAGTTCGAAGAATAACGAATTTAACTCTTGTTCACATTAATTAGGCCTTCCATAAGTCATCTTTATTCTACCACAATTTATTTATTTCTCGTTTTTTATCCTCATTTTTTTCTAGTACTTCTTCTTGAAAAAAAAAGAAAGTGTCACTAAAAATAAATTTATTTTTCGTTTTCTCTAGAAATACAGTCCAACGGAATAAAACAGACGAGAAATACTTCAAGGCGGAAGGACAAATAAAAGATTTTTCGAATAGATTTTCCTTTTTCATTTTCCTTGATAAACAGAAGATAAATTGATTCCACACCCGTTAAATCTCTATTCCCGATGATTATTCAGTTTTTGCGAATTCCTATTTTTGTTTAAATTTTTATTTGTGATTTTACGAAAATCAAAATCCGTTTCCTTTAATTCATGCTTATCGAATATATTCTTTGTATGAGATGTTTAACTGTCTCGAGAAATGTCGAATGTTCTATTCAGTGTTAAATACTATAATGTGATATAATAAATTCGGTTTCAATCATAAATCCATTTTTAATCATTAGGAACGAATCACATTTGAGAATGATGATTTTATAAACTAAAACATTGAAATGCATTTTTTCCTGAAATTTAAAAAAATTATAAATTATAAGATAATCTCAATACTGTTGAACTAATTTAATTATGCTTAGAAAGTGATATTGTGTAAATCGCTAATTAAAAGTGAATGTTGATTAACATTTTAATGAGAATTTAATGCAAATCAATGGCAATAGGATAACAAATAATCGAACCAAATAAATAAAATGAAAATTGATAGATAAAAGTTAAAAAATTGTCAAGCAGAATTAGAAATGATTATTCCAAAGATAGCATTCTTCTTTCAGTATAATTTAAAAATTAAACAGAATTTCCATATTTAAATAATGATTCGTATTTCTATAAGTGATGATGGTATTTCCAATGCAGTATCATTTCTTCGTTGTTTTTGCATATTTAATGTTTGTTGCCACATTTACATTACTTTATGTTATCATTCTTTCATTCTTTTTTTTTCTTTCAAATTTACTGTATCTTTTGTGTTTTTCAAATATCTATGGCTTCTACTGTTTGCATAATTAAGCGGCTACTCTTAAACGTAATTCCATTAATTTTAATGAAACATTTTTTAATTCTTTTTTTTTAAATTTACTGTATCTTTACTTATTATTAGTTTGCATGCTGTCAGGATTGCAGCTATATTTATTTAACTTAATTCATAGCTTTTTCCTTTAATATTGATGTAAATTGATGAAAACTAAAAGCTTGAACATTTTGAAAAGAAAAAGAATCTTCAGTGAAAATCGTAAGCAATTATCATATTGTCTTTCAATTCTTTAATGAAATTGCAATTTTTATGGAAATTTATTGATATATCAGGTTTATTTGGAAAAAACTGTAAAAGGTGAGAAAAAACAAGTGTGAAATGTTTTTTTAATTTACTGTATCTTTTGAGGAAATAACTTCTTATATGATCTAATTCATACTTCATAATGTGAAAAAAAAAAAAAAATTGTAAGATATGAAGCACAGCGTGTATCGATGCCAACCTAAGATCAAAATATTTATTGGATTCAAAATCATGTATTTCCTTCACAAAATATGATATAATTGGTACAAATTGTGGAAGATAATTTTCATGCTATTGAAACTTTGAAATATATAAGTTGCAGAAAAGTTTTTCTATATTGATCGGATATGAGCATGAAAATATGAAGATCAGATATTGATGATAAGTTGGAAATAATGAGCAGATCGATTAAAATCGATTGATCACTGAATCATAATCTATCGCAAAGTGATAATTTCTACTTTGGCATCTACTAAATCTCATCCAATTTCCCTAAATCTCTTGATAACATAGACTGCGACCAAAGATCAATAACTGATCGCTTCCAATTATTTAATCTGTCAACATAATCGCAAATCGGCAACATAGCGAATCGATCCGATCTTTCCCATGGAAGGTATTATTTTCTTTTCGCTACTCCTCACACTTGTCGTCTGGAACGCTTCCTTTCCCTCTTTCTTTGTGTTCTTATTAGTCTTTTTCCCATTTTATTTTGTATATTTTTTCATTCTTTTTTCCTCTATCTTTTCCACAGTATTTTCAATCTATAAAATGATATTTGTGTGAATTTATTTATCAATCATTCTGATTCCCATCTCTTTCCCGTCTTCTTTTTGGAGTGATTCGATAGTATTTCTGGTTGATCAGGTTTCATACCAGGTATATTGAATTAATCTTTGATACTGTAAAATTGAATAGGAAGAAGTGATGGGAATGAACGATGGTAAAACATATCGTTGACAAAAAGAAAATGGGGGATGATAATATATTATAAACAAAATGTACAGTTTAATCCAGTGTTCCTAAAGTTCGCCTTAAAGCAGTATCATTATCATCCCGGAATTAACCGATAAATTCTCTTGATATGAAATTTTGCGGATCGAAGAGTAACTTCGAAAAACCACGATAACTTTGATCAAAACTGCGATTTTAAGGGTCGAAGATAACTTCGATTAGCTATCAACTTGGAGAAATCATTGTTCCAGAAAATTGAAATAGCTAAATGCGTAAATCATGAAACGGGGAAATGGGATTAGGAAGATCATGAAATAAATTAGTTTGAAGGATCAAAATTAATTTCCAAGCAAAACTAGAGCGAATTGAATTGAAATAGATTGAATTAATGACGAGAGATATTTCATAGATTCCTGTTTTATTTGATGTGCTTGCCCGTTTTTCAGCCTTATCAATCTCTCTTCCACGGTGAAAATTTGAAATATTCTTACGAAAACAATGCGTGTAGCTACAAATTTGACGATGATGTTTCATGAAATGGATTTGCTACAAAAGTATTAATTACTTCATTTGAATAAACTTTATATCCATTTCATTTATATGTTCATATAATGCAAGAATTGGAATTGGCAAATGGAAACAATTACTCAGTATATTTGAAATAATAAATCTATTTTCCCAAACTTTAGGTCAAACAGTTATCCTTTATCAAAGAGCAAAAAATTATAATTCGAAACCGATAACTTTAATTTTGATTGAATTATCTGCTTTCGATAATTATCCAGAAAAGTCATGAAGATATGGAGAAGCAGCTGCACTGGCCTGAACATCATCACCTCAAACATGTCCTTATTAACGCTCTAGCAGGTATCTCCTAATTTTTTTTTTTCTAAATTATCATTGAAGTGATTTATTTCCTTCTTTTTGTCTATCGTCAATATTCCATCATTTTGCTTGATTTGTATTGGATATCGAGATGGACTTTGGATTTGATCCAGTATTACTTTTGTATTCATTATTTTATTTTCGA